TTCCTTGTATCCTTCCTTTTTCTCTAATTTTGGTCTGCAAACTTAGGTTGTTAACCATCCAGAAGAAAAGCTTATTGTTATTATCAAACGCCCAGGCTCACTTTAGATCATTGAACACATTTCTCTGCGGCTCCATAATCTTCTTGATCAGAAAATTTGGAGCACAACTGAGTTACATGTTGTTACAGTACAGGTTCTCCTATTCAGCCTTTTTAAAAACTGCTAAAGAAAATAAATTTGCTGCTACACCTACCAAGTGTGTATGCAATCAGTAATTTCTCTAAGTATTGCCTGTCCATCAACACCCGTGATAAACAAAATGTTAAAAAGTCAATGAAGATGTGCCAAGCCATACTATACCCTGAAATAAAAGGGATAAACAGGATTATTAATAAATAACAAATTAATAATAATTAATAAAATGTGTAAAACATTCTATAGTTTTACTTAGTCCATTTATGAGAAACCTGCTATGTGCTTACCTTTCTCCCTTTTTGTGTGTGCCTACACCCCACCTCGGCTACCCAGAATGGAACTCAGGACCTTGAGCTTGCCAGGCCAGCGCTGTGCTACTGAGCTGTCTCCCAGCCCCACCCCAGCTATGCTCGAAATTTATTTTCATCATCAGTTTCTCACCAGCTCGGTTGTAGTGATCCTTAACACGGTCGGGCCTGTGCGTATGCTTGCATTGATCCCTCTTGGGATTCGCTGGCTCCTTATTTCCGTCGTTCTGCTAAGTTTTTAGTTGTTTGTGGAAGGTGGGGGGGATTTCAACCCTTACTCCCCTGTGGCCATTTTAGATGATTTCTTCATAGTGACTGTAATGAGACAAGCTGAGAGAGCTGCGTGGAATCCCGGAGCGGCCAGCGCCAAGTGCAGCAGCAGAACCAGAATCCTGTCTGCTGGTGCGGTCTGCTGCGGCCGGCCTCCACCAGCAATGCTCAGGGCGGACGCCTACCTGGGAAATGGGTCGGCACAACTCGAGGAAGACAGCGTCCCGCTCGCTTAGTGCAGTCCTCTGACCTCAGGCCCTGCCTTGCCTCGCCGCAGTCACTTTACTCTACCTGCTGCTTTCCCTGTGCCTGTGAGCTCTGAACAGAGAAGTGACTCTTTACCACCAGTAATGTGACCGTTAAAGACTTGCTCCTGGATCAGAAAAGTAGCACGTCGAAGTCCTTTGAGATATGCAAGGGAATAAAGAGCACTAGTGAGCCCTGTGACCGTGACAGGCTGGTGGGGATTCCGCCTGCGGAGGTGACTAAGTTCAGCTCGTCCTCCCCTCCCCTCTTTCCTCTGCCTGCAGCACTGACCGCGTGCCTTTTCTCATGCATGACTATGACTTGAGGAGAACAACCAATATCAGGGAGGTCATGCCGGAGGCCGCCTATAACCACCCCTCCACCTTCTCCTGGCGCAACCTGTCCAAACTGAACGCTGGCGAATGGTTCGTACACCCACGGGTAAGACACATTCCCTGGCTTCGCAAGCTTGTCTGAATCCTTGTTCCATATGGGTTCAAGTGCTGCCTGTTGGGCTAAAGGCCAGAGGCGAAGACAGACAGCTGTGTACTCCATTTCTTGCTAGTCTTGTAACCACACCATAGCGTTGGCACTGGGGCTTTGCTGGTAATGCAGTCGGTGATTGTGGCTTTCTATATTCACCAGAAAGTCTGAACATACACTTGTAAACTTATTCTTGTCATATAATTCCTTTTTACCCAAGCATTCAGGAACCTTCAACATATGTCTACCACAAAGGGACTACATACACATTCTTTTTTTTCTTTTGGTGGAACTGGGGATTGAACTCAGGCCTTTGTGCTTGCCAGGGAAGCACTTATTCTACTGAGCCATCTCTCCAGCCCCAGGAAACATACACATTTTTGATTCTTTGTTGCCATTCAGCAAATATTTATTTATGTATTTATTTATTGGTGCTGGGGATCAAACTCAGTACCTTGCGCTCACCAGGCAGGTGTTTATGCCTCTGAGCTGTCTCCTGAGTCCAACAAATATTTATTGAGTACTAGGCAAAGGAAATGTAATGGTAAATAAGCATACCTCCATCCCTAATAGAATCCAAATTAGCATAAGAAACGACAACGCACTGTGGTAAGTGCCAAACCAGCGTTAATTTCAGGTTGCTTCAGGAGCACAGAAGAAGAACATCTAACTCAGTCTGAGACACAGGATGAAATATTATGGAAGAATATCATCTAATAGTGGGTGCAGTACAATACAAATCACATGGTATGTACCATGCAATTCTGGGGCAAGAGTGAAAGGTTCCCCTAGAGGAATGTGGGTAATCCTTCATGAGGAGCTACCATTTGTGTTAAGGGGAACTGCAGGCAGTGGAGGTGATGTGTCAAAGACAAGCTATGCCAGACCAGTTAGTGAACGTGTGTGTGTGTGCATGTGTGAAAGGAAACAGAGGGACAGAGAGGGAAAGAAGAGGGAAGCAGAATGACAAAACCCACTCAGAAAAGGAGGAAGGAACCAACGCACATGTAGGCAATGAAACTAAAACTGAAATTAGATGCAAACCTAATGACAGTGATACCATAACCTTAGGGGCAATCTTTTCTTCCACGAAAAAAAAAAAAATCTTTATTGGACAAAAATCATTTGTTTCTTTACTTTTTAAATTTATTAAAATTTTTGATTAAAATTATAATTAAAAATTTTAAGATTATTATAGTGATTCTCCTGTTTCAGCCTCCCCAGCACTGGGATTACAGGCATGCACCACCATGCCTGCTTTTCTTGGCCGGCTCGGGGCCCCAGGGCAGGGCCGGAACAGCATGTAGTACCGTGGTCCTTGCACTTGCCTAGGCAGGTGCTTAGACCACTGAGCTCTCTCCATGGCCCACTTTTCTGTTTCCTACAAGTTAACATCTAACATCCACATGATCTGAGCCCTAATCAGAAATACAAAGTAATTCACACAAAGTACCATCTTAGTTACTTTTCTTGTTGCTGAGACAGAATACCTGATATCCAAGGTTAAAGGGGTAAAGGTCTATTTAGCTCACAGTTGGAGGCAAATTTTCTCCCCTTTGCATGGTAGCCTGTGACCTTCCTTATTACCTGTAACGTCGGAACAATGTACAACAGGTATCCAGTGGTTTGCCTGGGCAAGCTTACCAGCATTTTCCCAAATAGCAGTTACATCTGTGTCTTTGGTGAGGACAAGAGGTTCATCATACCTTAGTAAGTAGAATCTATTATCAGATATAATCCTCCAGATATGGCCTTGGTGGTACAGTATGACAAGTTACAGCCTATTGAAAAGGAGGATAGATTTCTACAAAATCTGTGGAGACAACTACATTGCCCTGAAAAGTAGAAAAGCAGTAAAAGTACATGTTCCTGAATTCCAAAGGCTCAGTGAGACAAGGTGCTAGCAGAAGAATGTTTTGTGCATCCGTAGCATAGGAGATAGAAAAAGATTGCTTTTTAAAGTCTTGTTCACCTGAGGCAAGACAGGTTTGAGGCCAGGCTGGGCTGCATAATAAATTTAAGACCAGCTTCAACTATGTAGCAAGATTCTGTCTCAAAACACTGAAGGAAG